TGGATTTGGATAAACCCAAACGGCGTGAGGTCTGCATCTCAGCATCGACTCAGTGAACTGTTTTGGCTGATGAAGAATGCGAAGTGCAGATGTGCAATGATATGCAATGGCTTCGAAGGTGGAACTTCATGAATTGTTAATGGATTGCTTTCAGAAAGGGAGACCGTGAACCCAAAATGTTGGTTTCTTAGAAGCTTGAATCCAGGACAACGAGGTTCGGAACCCTCCGGACCTTCCGGAACCTGCCCCAGGCATGGCCTCCTTGGTGCGTGCTCCGGCCATGGTCGTGAACTCTCCAGGCACTGCCGCCACCACCTCAGACGCCGCGTGGAGCGCTGCGTGGAGCAAGCGTGGAGCCTGCGTGAGGTCCCGTGGAGCATCCTGCCGACCCAAACCCAAAGAGTCTCAGGCTCCAAAAGACCAAGGTTTTCTGGAAGTCTCATGAGGCGACTCATGAGGTCTTTTCTGGAAATCCGAGGTGTTTTTGTCCAACAGACCTTTGCTGCGGTGTTCAATCACACGCCGATGCATGGTCTCGCGTGTTCTCAATCAATCGATCGGCAAGTGCCTAGGTGGACATGAAAAACCATTGTTTCATGTCCAGTTTGGGCTTCACTGCTTCACCTCTTTGTCGAGCTCCGAGGATCGGACCGAACTCACCGAACTCGGGGGAACTCGGGTACTCGCCCGCGGGGCGGTTGGTCCGATGCGATGCAAAGACATGGAGATCAAAGGCACCCGTGGTCAATGGAACACTCAAACAAACTATAGATATGAGTGTAGTTTAATAGGGAGAGCCCCTGGCCCAATAGGCTTTGGTCTGTTTTCTTTCTTCCAGGGGGTCTTTGGGAGGGAGACCACCTCTAATACACACCCATATCGAGTATCCCCAAAATGGGGGGGAAGAGAGATCGAAGGAAAAACCGAACGCCTTCGATCGAAGAGCTTGATTTCCAAGACTTCGATCGGAACCCATCCATGATCGCTGCACTCGTTATTTAATTTGGACTCTGTCCCATGCATCGCATCGACTGAGCTGCCGGTTTTTCGCATGCCGAGAGGCCATTTGGCCAATGCGGACAAGCTGGAAGCCCAAGACCTTCGGTCGCGTCGCTTGCAGATGCCCCAAACACCGAAAGCATCTATTATGACGGCCATGTTACCGGTCTTAATACCATGATTTGTTTGCCGAGCCTAAAAGAGAGAGTGATACCTGTTGGTTACATAGATTCTGGTCTAAAGAGCGAGTGAGAAGCGAATTCCCGCACACATTCAGGGGCTTTGTCCCATCAGTACAACCTCTATATAGAGCCTAAGGGCCTAAGTGATCATTTGTTTTGGAGTACCAACTGTCCCATCGAAACAGGAGCTTTCGAGCTTCCTGCAGGCCCCGTTCGAACGCCGAAGCTGTTGACGCAGGTTGACGCAGTCACAAGCAGCATCAAGCAGCCACTCGAACGGAGTTCAAAGTCCCAACAGGTGGCGTGTGGCCTGCCTGAAAAAGAGAGCTAATAAAACGGCTCAACAAAAGCCAAGAAGAAGGTCTCCAGGCAAAACAGACCTCTTTGTAACATGGAGATTGAATCTTCACAAACTGAAAAGATCTGAATAGGTCAGGATCGGACTACGGCCCACCAGAAAGGCAGTGCCGGGGAATGCCCACAGCCCACCAGGAAAGGCAGCCGCGATCAAAGATGGAGAGTCTTCAGGGAAAACCTATGGATCAAAGAGAAGCCCCAACCTGAATGGCCTGGGAAGTGGGAAGAGGAGTGAAGTGAGTGGGCTGATCCTTTCAGAGACGTGATAAGATGTGTATGGCAGCGGCATGCAAAAAGAAACGGGGGATGACCGTAGGTGCATCGCTACGAACGTAGCAAGGATGCTACGAACGTAGCAAGGAGCCGTACTACGAGTAACACGAAGCTACTACTCTCCCCGGAACTAACATGGAAGTGGAAAACCACAATGTATTGTAGTGGAAAATTGTCTTCCAAGGAGCCCTTCTCCACATAACCATGTGAGTTTTCGGGAGTGTAGCAAGGACCTGGTACGGTCTCCCGGGCTCGCCAGCTCCATGCAGACGAAGACACCTTTGGGAAGACCGTCTCGCGCCTCGAGCGACGTTTCGAGCGCTCGACGTTTGCTCGAGCGACGTGTGTCGTGCGACGTGAGTCCTTGGGACGAGCGCTCTGCAGGTCTCCGTGTCCGCGGAAGACGGAGTCTGAAACTCGGTGGTGGATAGACGTCGATGGGACACCCCTGAAGCGACACCGATCTTTCTCAGGTACAACTCCAAACCCACCAAAAAGGATGCTTTTGTATGCTTTTGAAATTAGAGGAATGCCGAAGTATGGTGTCCTGTTCTTTCGGTAGAGTTTGATGTCAGATTTCTGAACTCTTGTCCCACAAGTAGCATTCTCGATATTTAACTTCCACATCTTGCATTTGTTGAGGCTCTTCAGTGGGATGAGATGTCCGTCCCGGTCCGCGCTGCGGCGGCATGCGCGGACGGCCGGGCAGACCCAAAACGGACGGTTCTGTGGTGCAACACATGGGGAACGGCCAAGTTGGGGGGTGAACAACTTGGCCTCACAAAAGGTCCAGAAAGGTGGGAAATGGTGAGGTGGATTAAGGTGGATGCGGAAAAACTCCTCAGTTGTCCAGAGGCTCGACCCACGTATCCGGCGCAAACTGAACTGAGGAGTCACAACTCCCTAGCTTTTGCTGGTCTTTTTGGGGGTGCCACAGAGTCGAAGGCTGAGGATGTTATTCTATGATAAATGGCTGGGTGTTGCAAGAGCTCTTTGTTGGGTCTATCCTACTACCAGTAACAGTGGATGATTATGGTTAGTAAAGGCCTTGTTCAAACATAGTGATCAGCATTTACTGACAGTCACAGGTAAGGACAGACCCAAGCTATTTGACTCTTCGACTATTTGACGTTCATTTGATCGTCCTCTTTAATGGTCCATGTCTGCTACAGACTGTGCATGACCGTACACGACCGCGCGAACCGCGAGCCGACAGAACCCGAACCGTGGGACGGCTGGGTGTCCGTCGTGTCCGTCGTGTCCACGATCCATCACCGCGATGGTCCATGGGGACTTCCATTGGGTAAGACTTCGTCTCAAGTGCTCAAGGAATCTACCCAAAGATGAAAACCCATAGCTTGAGTATGTCGTCACATTACCAGGAACCCTGGATGATGATGGTTAGGGGTTAGCAAAGGCCTTTCTCAAAAATAGCGCCCGGTAATGGGGCACACCCTACCAGCAACTGAACCCCTATTAACTAGGACATCTGACGTCAATCTCCGATCTCCCTTCTACCCCGCTTTTTGATGCTTCTTGGCCGAGCTGCACTGTGTTGGGGCGCAGCAAAATGTTCTTCGGCGCCTGGCGCTCTCCGAGTCGACTCGGAAGCTGTCCGATGCCGACCAGCACAGCGCGCGCTTCAGTGATTTACAAGGAGCACTGCAAGCTTACGGTGAGCAGCCTGCAAGTCTTGAAAAAACGAACATGGTTCCAAGTAACAAGATGATCGAACACATCCAAAGCAGGAAAAGTCCGAATAACGCGTCTTGAAAAGGTCTAGCTCAATCAGGCAAAACATATTATTATTACTATTATATATATATGGTCTAGTTCTGCATGTCAGTAGGGTTCGAAGCCCCTTATCGTCTGCAATCCAAATGACTGAAAGTAAAATAGACTTTCTGCAAAAAGCTGCTACTTTCTTTCATGGACACGCCCACAAATATTGCGCGATCGATGGGAGACCCAGAGTCTGGGCAGATTCCTAGGTTGGACCAATGGCGCTAATCAGTCTTATATCTACCCATCAGTCATGCAACGCCTGTAGACAGGTGCTGTGCTTGGTGATGTACTTAGTTCTCTGCCTAGGCCGAAGGGCCGCGGACCACGCGTCGCCAGTTCTCGGCCTGGCATCGTTTGTCCTCGGCGCTTGGGAGGGTGAGCATGTGGGCGAAGAACCTCGGTTTCAGGGCAGCGGGTCTCACACCGCGGAAAGACGGAACTGGGCGACCCTTCTTCCAACCAATCGAATGGCGAATCTGTGATGGACCAGTTATGACAAGACATATGAGTTGGGAAGCTTCCATGGAAGCTCCCTGAAATACCCGATCAAGAACAGCTCCGCATGGTGCACAGTCGACGATGGGCAACTCGATGACCCGACGACTAATGGTCCTCCGGTCCCGTGTCAGCTTCCTAAGCCGTCCAAAAGGACGCGTTCAGGGCGGATGTCGGAAATCTGTGACGGGTCAGCGATGGATTTGGGACCGCAAAGAAAAATCAGGAAGGTGTCACGGTGTGCCAGGTTCTCCCAAATGATTTAAATCTTTTCAGGTCCTCAACGATTCAGAATGTTTCACTACTAGCACAGCAGGCCTCTAGAAGATTCGGATGATTCCCACCTGTTTAGACTTTTTTCCGCGCTGTCGAGGAGTCTTTCTCTGGCCACATTCTCCCAGATCCCTGACTCCAAGAGCCCAGAACTGCTGAGTATCATATCTCAGATCATCTTGTATGCATCGAATGTCTTAACAGACTCTTAACAGACTCTACCATCATCTTTCCTCGAAAGCTTCCGTTCTGGGCCAACTGGTAGAGGCAGGGCTCTCAGTCGGTTGGGCCAATGAGATAAATGATTCGCCTCGCTGAGGTCTCTTGCGGCTCTTTGACCACTCACTCTCAGCGATTCACGGTCTTACCTGGTTCAACACTCCTCCTTCAAGTGTGTTGAGGTAGACCATACAGTATATATGTACTATACACAGCTCCTGATGGATCTAGTTTCCACCCTGAAATCTGCAACGAGCTGCTCTGCGAGCTGCTCCGCGAGCAGCTCAAGCTTCTTCACTTTGTTCGAATGCTCTCGAACATGCAGTTCCAGGATCACTGCAATATCCATGCTTCAGCCACACACACAGGGGGAACCTAAGAACTTTCTTCCCACACTCCACTGAGCGCTTTAGGACTCCACCGTTTGCTCCGCTTCAGGATCCACCAGGCTCGGACACGCCGCCGTTCCGGCGTAAAAACCATTCCCTCCGCCGTCTCAGGGCAATCGGACGATGCGCTCAACGAGCTCATGGATCTGCTTGGTCTTCAAGCCATGCTGAAAGGCCTCCCGCTGGATCTCGCGCACCTGTGCCTCGGACGCGAGCCGGTCCGGAGCGTTGGTCCGGAAATCGCTTCAAGTCAAGACGTGCTTTATTCGGAGACCCATTGCCTGTCTTTTGAAGTATAGGTGAGAAAGTCTGCTGGAAGAGGTTTCTGAAGAGCTGGGCCCGAATTGGTTGCAACATTGTATGTTGTATTCGTACTTTCAAACTTATATTCATTCTATGTCGGACCTTCCGCGCAGACGGAGCTTGTCTCGTCCATCGCCTCCGCATTGGACTCACAGATCTACAGCTGAAACCACTTCAGAACTTCACCTTTCTACGCCTTCTCCTTGTCGAGTGATTTGGTTTATTGAGACAAGTGTACTCACTAGCAACTCTGATGCTGTCTAGCCTATAGCCTAGCAAAAGTATGAATCTGTCAACAAACACAGCACAACATATTGGCGCTCGCGAACACTGACACTGTGAATAGCATGTCGCTTTGGATGAAATCACGATTCCGAAATGTTTAACTCTCGAGGTGGCCCGACGCGGCCCTATGTGCAGGGGACAATGCACATGTGAAAAGGTCTTGCTGCCCACAGTGGTAGCGGAGCCAGGTTCGGCCCTTGGACCTGGCTCGGTTGGTCGGTTTTGTTTGGGGTGTTTTGGGGTTGTCCCTGGTTGGTGGTTCGCTTTGAGCCATGCCCCCGGTTGCGGCTGCGACAGCAGCCGATGGTTCGTCGAGGCCGGAAGGCCATGAGTTTGATGAAGGGCTGCCACGCCCTGGTGACTTGGATGAAGAGGAACTGGCCGAAGAGGCCTTTGACAGTGATGAGTTCCGGGCATTTCTTCGAGCCCGGTATCCACACCGCCAACACCGGCGGCGCCATGGCAGCTCGACCAGGAGTGCCGATAGTGACTTGGGCGACGGTGGTAGCAGCTTTGGAAGCAATGGGCCACCGCCAGAGTGGGATGGCGAATCCTTGGCCTTTCAGGACTATGCCATCAAGGCCAGGCTGTGGCTTGCTACCACCAAGGCCCGTCCCCGTGCACGAGGGCCGCTACTCCTTCAGAAGTTGACGAAGACCCCTTTCGAGACCATGAAATATCTCGCCCGGGATCGGGCGTGGATGACCAGCGATGGCAACGGCGATGAGTTGATCGCCCTCATAGAGCTCCCCGAGAACTTCGGTGAGGACCGCGAGGAGGACCTGTTGGCCGCCTTGGCGAAGATCACCTTCCATCTTCGCCGAGGCAAGGATGAGCACTTTCGAGCCTTCTTCAGCCGCTGGGACGTGGCAATGAGGAAGGTGACTGAGCACTCCGTCGTTCTTCCCGAACGGTACGTTGGTTTCTTGCTCATCAACGCCTTGGTGCTCTCCGATGCCGACATCAAGTCGCTCCTCAACTACTCTCGAGGGTCCATCAAACCCGGAGACATCCGGGAATGGATCCGCAAGCACGAGACAAAGCTCCAGGCCTCGCAGGTCGGGATTGAAAAGGAAAAGAAAGGAACTATGACCACGAGTTCTCGGATGACATCCTCCGCTGCTGCCCACTACATCAATGCCGAGCCCAATGACCTGGAGGATGACGAGATCTATGCCGTGGAGGAGGCGCTTCAAGACCTCCAAGGTGAAGACGAAGAAGGACACGATGGAGAAGACGGTGATGGAAGTGTTCTCGAAGAACACGAGGCCGCGGAGGTGCTGAGCACCATTTTGCAGCAGAAGAAGAAGACCTACACGCAGACCCTCAAGGCCAAGAAGGCGAAGGAGCTGTCGAGAGGGTATTCCAACACCTTCAAGGGCAAGACCAAGAGCTTCACGATGGTGGGGCACAATGCTCCCTTCAAGGAAGGGAACTACCGCATGACCGTGGAGGAGTTGAAGAAGGTCACCAAGTGCGCCATCTGTCGGAAACCCGGTCACTGGCACAAGGAATGCCATGAGAAGGACCGAGATCGTGGAGCCCCGAAGGAGGCCCATGTGTTGGAAGAGGCCATCTTCTGCGGCCACCTTGAGGAGCACCCGGGTGAGGGTGCTTTTCTCCCTGGAGGTGAACGCCTGAGCGATGAAATCTCCGCAGATGTCCCGGGTCATGGCGGCCCGGGATCTAGTGATCGACGCCTGATGGCACCTCACGTCGAGAGTGCATATATGGCCGAACTTCAGGGTGACCCTTGGGAAGGTGGCTCCAGTAGTGATCACGATATTTTTGGGGTTATGTATGGGGAAAGTCCGAAACTTGTTTCCGAACCCGTCCGATCGAACCCGTATCCCGATGAATGTTGCGCAACCATCGACACCGGTTGCCAACGAATGGTAGTGGGCCGGCAGACCCTTGAACGACTCGCTCAACGTCTCCCTCCTGGACTCCCAGTCAGGACCAAAGATCAGACCCATCGTTTCAAGAGCGTCCATGGGATCTCGAGCACCCAAGTCGTCGCGGCAGTTCCGACAAGCATTGGACAGAAGGGCTCATACTTCATGCCGGCCGTCTTCGACAACCCCGAGAGTGTGGCCGCCCCCTTCTTGATCAGCCTGCCCTTCCTCATCTCGTGTAGGGCGGTGATCTACCTCGATAATGAGACAGGACTCCGGGTGCGGTTCAGGAAGCAAGGGTTTACGGTTAAATGTCACCTAGGACCTACCGGTGCCCTTCGGATTCCGTTGTGTGAGTTCACCCCCGGTCAATTGGAATCTCTCAGTAAAGAGGTCAGCGGCAACAACCAAGAATTTGAGGTACTCAAGACGGAACAATCACATGATCCCGCCGCAGACAGTTTTTCACAGACCAAAACCGGAGCCCCTGACAACGAGCGTGAACCTCCGAAGCAATCCCCCTCTCATGGAAGCCATGCCGGAGCTGAAGCGACCTCGAGGACCACGAGAGGAGGCCCACTTTCCCTCTCTCTGGGGATGGAACCGCCTGCTTCGGAAGTTGCTCTATGTCATGCAAGGGCTCAACGTGTTGCTCGAGAACCTGATGAAGCGGCCGACGGAGGCCCGCGACCTACATCCTCCTCGCCATCGATTACCCGATCCGGAAGAAGTCTCGGATCCTTGTATCCGGGGTTTTGCTATGCAACCAGGGTTTTGACTTGAAGTGCAGCCGCCGGAGCCTGCTGGAATATAGTGTTATCAGTGAAACAACAACGTCAAAAAACTTGACACTTGGTCACTTGAGCCACTTCCTATAGTTTTTGAATTTTGAAACTTCCTGTGAAACTTCCTTGTCTATAATCATCTATGGTGTTATATATATTTGAAACTTCCGCACACTAGGAGGGTATCCTCAATTTCACTCGGTACAGAAAGTTTTTTAATTTAAAGGTCCCTTCCAAATTAAAATTTGGGTCTCACCCCCTCGCCGGCCGGCCGACGCGGTGCCAACCCGTGATGGCCAAGAAGATGGCCTCCAGCCGGGCTGCCAAGAATGGGCACGATGGGGTTGCCTGGGGTTATGTGTGTGGAAGAAGTGGTGAGGATGTTGGCTCATTGGGTAGAAGTCATTGGGAAAGTTGGTGGTTCAGGCTTCCAAATGAGCAAAACATGGGATCCAAATGACTCATAGTCGGGAAAGGCCCTGTTCTTTGAACGCTGTGTCTCACATCATACCAATGCCGGCCATCATATATGTGGTACATAGTAATTATCAAAATTATACATACAAAAAACTATATTTACATATTCCCAATCGATGCTTCCACCACATATGTGGATGCTCTCTGAGACTCTGCGTGGACCCTCTGTGTGGACCCCAACTGGCCTGCTCACGGGCTGGTTTCCAGCCTCGGCCCGCAGTTCCAACGAAGTTGGAGAGAACAACTCAAGAGGAGTGCTTGAAGCGAAGCTGGAGGGAACGAAGTTAGAGCGCTTGAAAGTCTGCCGTTTTCCGAAAAATTGTCTGCCACCACTCACACCCTCGCTATTCACACCAGTGGCACGGTTGGTAAAACCAAATGTTTGCACACACGTCTTTTTTGGAAGCACCAAGTGGTTTGCGCATGCCAGTTGGGCCTGCAATCAAAGAGCTTAGATTGAAGTAGAACGTATACATGTATCCACACTTAGTTACGAGATATGGTATCAAAGCTGGCCATCAAGTGTTCTGCGAGGTTGAAAGCTCTCACGAGTCTAGCTGATCCAGCCACTCTGCTTCCGAAATAGGTCTAAGTCTAGGTGTCCTTAAAATCAGGTGGAATTTGAGGTGAGTTTTGAGGTGTGTCAGGTTACCTTAAGGTGGAACTTGAGGTCTGAGTCTCGAAACTTCTGGTGGCTGGCTCAGGTGAAATGCCAACGGTCCAACGCAGTGTTGGAGAGGCCCGGGTGTCACTGATCAATCATGATCAATCGATGTCCTGCAGTTCACAAGAATCGAAAATTAAGACCAGTGAAGCGCCAAGTGGAGTTGCTGTTGTTGCATGTTCTCTGACCCCCAACCCAGCCCAAGCCTCCACGGCATCTTCCTCTGCAGCCTCTTCCTCGCCGCATTCCTGCGCATCATCCGCTTCGCAGGCCTCTTCCTTCGCAGCCGGTGCCTCTGGGGGCGGTGGTGGAGCCGTCTTCTTCTTGGCAGCCTCCAGCATCGATTCCTGGGAATCAAAATTTTTGGAGACTTCAATTAAACACCCAAAGAGACGGATGCTGGACGCTGGATACCAAACCTTGTTCCCGTAGACAAACCTCTGAAAGAGTGAAACAGTGATTGGCGGATCCACGGTGCCGGAAACTAAATGCATTCAGGAATCATGCAAAGCTTTAGACGCAGCCACATCCCCCCTGGTCCGGATCAATTCATCCCTGACAGCAGCCTCAGTTGAATCCAGAGCTGATGAACTTCACAAACCCTTGGCCTTGTTGAGGCTTCACAAAATTTATTTGAACTTATCAAAATTTATTTATTTATTTGAACTCCTGGGTGAGGGTGAGCCCTTCAAACAAACTATTAGACACTGCCACTCGATCCAGGAAACTGCAATGGTGGCCAAGTCTTCGGCAGTGACAAAGGGATGGGGCTTTACCTGAAGATGTGGTTTTGG